CCACAATTTTCTGTGGTTAAAAATTATAATATGAGTAGTTAAGACTATCTGGAAACAACAGTTGCAGAGATGTAATGGGATATAGTTTTGTCATATTTAAAATAAAACAAACCAGATAATATTTCTGATGGGTTTATTTTCAATTTAGCATTTGATCTTGGGAAAACTATGTAAAAACAGTCCTAAATAACTACTATTTAACAAAGATATCCAAATGGAAATAAAAACTAAAATGAAATTTAAAGTAATACATATCAAAAATGGGGCTACACATTAAGCAGGTAACAAAGGAAAGTTATAACAATATTTATATAATCAGTATATAAACTATAGTTATATAATCAAGAACCGTGTGGTGGTTGTGGGAGCCCAGTCCTACCAGAATAAGAGATCTAGAAATACTTTGATACTTTGGTAGATCACAAAATGACAAAATAAGCATACTATCCAAAATATAAAGGTAAGTTTAAGAATTATTCAAGCTAAGAGTTGAAAATCTGTTGACTTTGATGGAAGGGACTGGGGCAGTAGGGATGGGAATGTATAGATGGAAAAAGTGGGCTGCTGTTTTTCAATATAAGCTCTTTAATACCATGTGATTTTAAATTCTATACTATACTACTTTGGTAAAAAGGAAAATTTAATTAATTATACAAAAGTGGAAAAAGAATAAACAGAGACCATGAGTGGAAAAGTATGGGGTCAAAGGAAGACAGTGAAGGGAGTGAACAAGCAAACTGATAGGGAGGAAAAACAGTAAGAGGAGACACAGGAAAATAAAATACTTAAGGCTAGCTGAGATCTACTGAGGGCAAGGAAGGAGACTGACAGAAACCCCTATCTAGGTTCCCAGAGCTTTGTTGAATACAGAATTCTCTTTCAGTGGAGGCATGGTCTATTTCCAACACTATCTCCACAGATGACGTCTACTTCCAAGGATCTAGCAATTAATATCTACTTCAGTCAATTCCACTTCTAAATTTTTTGACTGTTTTATAACTTTTTTCTGAGCTTCCTGTTTGATCTTCTTGTTTGCTGAATTCTACTTTGTGTATTTACAAAAATGTTCTAGCTTCCACTTTAAACAATGAGTTTCTTAATAAGTCTACATATTTTCTGAACTATGTAACACTTAGCAGCGTACCTGCACAAACTGAAAAATCAAACTTATTTAGAAGACTCTATCTTAAAATATTAATTCTCTGGAAACTGATGTATAAATTCATTTTAACCTTAATCAAAATGTCAGCAGTTATTTTTATGTGTGTGAATATTAATAAGCTGATTCTAAAATTTATATGAAAATGCAAAATACTAAGAGAAGAAGCAGGAGAACTTGCTCTACCAGATAATAAGCCTTGTTTTATGCTACAGTATTATTATAGTGTGGTATTGAGACAAAGGTAGACAAGCCAATGGAACAAAATTAAGTCCAGAGACAAACTTACAGATACAGGGACACATGATTTATGACAAAGGTAGCCTTACAGGGAGTGGGGAAAAGTCTTTTAAATAAACATTGCTGGGTCAATTGGATAGTCACATGGAAACAAATGAAATTTGACCCCTACCTCACACTACATACAAATATCAT